AGATGGGACCCTCTGAGGCGACACGACCATGGTAAATAAGCAGGATCGCTGTTGGAAGAGCAGGGCCTAAGTGTCCAGAGGGGATGGGGGTGGGAAAGGGACCCCGGGGTCTCAGCCCAGGAGCAGGACCAGACTGGCTGTGAAAGAGTTGAGAAAGGGGGGCAGGGCTGCAAGGGAACGGTGTGTGTGTGTGTGTGTGTGTGTGTGTGTGTGTGTCTGTCTGTCTGTCTGTTGACTGCTTCTTTTGAACAATGTAGCATTCTCTATTACAACTGCTACATACCAATAGCCTCAAATGACAAAGCATCTAAACTCATAGAATAAGATTTCAAAAAATAAAGGACTGAAACAAAGGTATCCACTAGGCTCTCTCATGGTGTGTTCTCCCCCTCTTGAGTAATCCCAGCACTTTGGGAGGCCAAGGCAGGTGTATCACCTGAAGTCAGGAGTTCAAGACCAGCCTGGCCAACCTGGTGAAACCCCATCTCTACTAAAAATACAAAAATTAGCTGGGTGTGATGACTGAGGCAGGAGGATCGCTTGAACCTGGGAGGCAGATGTTGCAGTAAGCCAAGATCATGCCCCTGCACTCCAGCCTAGGCAACAAAGCGAGATCCCATCTCAAAAAAAAGAGAGAGAGAAAAGAAACTTTCTTTGTCCTAACCTGGGAAGCTCAGGGGTCTCTGCTCAGCCAGAACTGAACTCTCTTTAGAGTTAAACTCACAGCAGAGGAGAGTTTGTTTCTCTCCTGCACTGCAGCCGGCAGGGATGCCCCCCTTTCCTCTGGTCCCACTCGTGGCAGACAGGAATGACACGGAATCTCCATAGGAGCACATACATTCCCCCGCTGCTTCCTCCTCCTCAAGTGACTCCACAGTTCCTGGCCTCCCACTCCAGCTACTCCCAGCTAGCTAAGCATAATCCCCAAATTTTCAACAATGCTTGTTTAGGATGAAACCGGGATGTCTCAAACAGCCACTACTTGAGATAAGGGTTTACAAACGACTTGCCGTTGAAAATTTTCACTTCAGAGCTCAGGATTACAGTAACCCAGGATCTTTTACAGAAGTAGAAACTGAAAATTGAGTTGGTGCACAAGATGTTTTGTGTTGAATTTGACAAATGCCCAGTCAGGATTTCAGATACCTCCTGAAATAAGAAAGCTACCAGGGGAAGATTTCAGCAGCGTTTATTTTTATTTACAATTTATACCCTGTCAGCTTCTAAAAAGGACTGGAGGCAGCTTCCAATAAAAGACACATGCACAATAAGATTGCTAAAATGGGAACCGAAAATTGAAAACGCATGCTGAAGAAGGGGGGAGCCAAGAAGCTAAGACGATGATGACGCAGGACTGGATTCAGTTCCGAGCTTTCTGGTGGCGAAAGCAAAGACGCAAATGTGAAGGCTGGCATGCGCTCCAGAATCTCAATAAAGAAAATAAAATCGTAACCCGCGTGTTAGTCTCCAAGGGATATCAGGATGTCTCCAGTATTGTATTCATTTGGTGACTCCTACCAGGGCCTCTGAGTGAGGTGACAGAGAGGGTCCAGCTCTCCTGCCTGTGCCCAGCTTGGGCTTTAGAGTGTGACAGCGGCTGCACCAGACCCCAGACAAGGGGCCCGGCCCAGCCCTCCCTGTGGAGCGATTGCTCCCGCAGCTGCCCCGCCCTGGAGTGGAGAATCCACAGGGCTAGGACCTGTCACTTCCTGCTCAGTCAGCGCGGCGACCCCTGAGGCTTTGCCTTTTCCCAGGTCCATCCTCTCCAGTGGCCTGCAGGTGTTCATGCCTCTGGGCCTGGGGAGGGCCGGGGCGGCCAGTGGGGTGCAGGGGAATTTGGAATTTGGACCACAGGCTGGGTGGTCCACAAGCTTGTTACTATGATCATTGTTATTTCTGATTCACTGCATAATTCTGCCGTTTATATTTGTAATGCTATTTGAGAGTTTGTGAAAAAGCAGCACCAACCTGAAAACATATAGTCTTCCTGTAGACTAGGTAAGCTACAGCAGATTAGCATTTCCCCCCACCCTTTTTTTTTTTTTTTTGACAGTCTTGCTCTTGTCGCCCAGGCTGGAGTGCAGTGGTGCAATCTCAGTTCACTGTAACATCCGCCTCCCAGGTTCAAGTGATTCTCCTGCCTCAGCCTCCCAAGTAGCTGGGAATACAGGCACCTGCCACCAAGCCTAGCTAATTTTTGTATTTTTTGTAGAGATGGGGTTTCAGCATGTTGGCCAGGCTGGTCTTGAACTCCTAACCTCAGGTGATCCACCCACCTCAGCCTCCCAGAGTGCTGGGAATGCAGGTGTGAGCCACCCTGACTGGTCCATTTTTCTCTTCTAAAAGAGCTTTTTACCTGCACTTGTCCAGGTCCTGTGGGTTTAGAGCTTGGCATTTAAAGACCAGATTGGGCTGGTTACAATGGCTCATGTCTGTAATCCTAGCGCTTTGGAAGGCCAAGGTGGAAGGATTGCTTGAAGCCAGGAATTTGAGGCTTCCATGAGCTATGATCACACCACTGCACTTCAGCCTGGACAACAGAGCAGGAGGGTGGGGAAAGAGAGGGAGGGAGGGAAGGAGAGAGGGAGGAAGGGAGGGAGGGAGAAGAAAGGAGGAAGAAAGAAAAGAAAGAAGAAAAAGAAAGCTCAGAAGTGTTATTAACTTTATATTCTTGTTGCTATAGGCTAGGCCCAAACCTCCAGTCAAGGCCTTTTGTGCTTTTATGACCTGGCCTTAACCTACCTTTCTTTTTCTTTGAGAGTGTTTCGCTCTGTCACCCAGGCTTCCCTCTCCCGGGTTCAAGTGATTCTCTTGCCTCAGTCTCCTGAGTAGCTGGGACTACAGGCGCGTGCCACCACTCCTGGCTAATGTTTATGTACTTTTAGCAGAGGCAGGGTTTTTTGATGTTGGCCAGGCTGGCCTCAAACTCCAGCCCTCAGGGGATTCGTCTGCTTTGACCTCCCAAAGTTCTGGGATTATAGACGTGAGCCACAGTGCCCAGCTTTTAACCTACCTTCCCGCCTGTCTCCCTTTCTCCATCCCGCCTGTCCTACCACTGTCGCTACCTGGTCTCAGGCTCATTGTGCCACCAACAACTCTTGCTCTTTGTGCCAGCGTCTCCTGCTCCCCTTGGCTTCACCCCCTCCTCTGAGCTTCTCCCGTTCCTCTGGGCTTCCCTTGCTCCTCTGGGCTTCTCCCGCTCCTCTGGGCTTCTCCCGCTCCTCTGGGCTTCTCCTGCTCCCCTTGGCTTCTCCCGTTCCTCTGGGCTTCTTCTGCTTCTCTGAGCTTCTCCCGTTCCTCTGAGCTTCTCCTGCTCCTCTGGGCTTCTCCTGTTCCTCTGAGCTTCTCCTGTCCTCTGAGCTTCTCCTGCTTCTCTGGGCTTTTCCTGCTCCTCTCTGCCTCATACCATCTCAGCCCATCTCCCAAGTCCCCTTCCTCTCTGGCCTTTTCCAGGTCATTCTCTCAGACTCTCATCTGCACTGTCCTCTCCCTTTTCAGAGTCATCAGCCACACCCAGGTCTTGGGCAGTACTCAGTGTGACCTTGTCTGCCTCTCCAATTATATCATGACAACCTGTGGCCGCACCCTGGGTGCTCTCCTAAATGCTCCCCACGTCCTTCCGCGTGGCTCCTGAAGGGGTCCAGGGTCTCGTGTTGCCATGCCTGTGTTCCTGCCCATGCCTCGGGTGCTCACAAAGGCAGGGTGGCCTGGGGGAAAGCACAGCTCCCGCAGCTGCAGGAGAGTGAGTCCAGAGGTGACAGGAGTGGGAGGCGGCCATGGAGAGTGACACCCACCGATGTGTTTTTCAGTCCAGTGAATGCAGTCACTCTGGGTTCGGGAGAATTGGGGCCAGTGTTGCTGCTGCTGTCCACAGAGGCCTCACGAAGTCGTCTGTGCCAGCACGTGAGCGATTAGCAAAGACGCATTCCTGCAACACATCAGGTCGAAAGCACCATCATCAGAACCCACCACAGGGCAGCGGTTCTCCAGCAACAGCAGCCTCGGGAAACGTGGGAGAAGTGTGGACTCTCCAGCCCCACCCCAAACTGACAAAATCAGAAGCTCTGAGGGTGGGGCCAGGAACCTGTGTCTTAACCAGCTCCTCAGCTGATTCTGATTCAGGCTAAACTTTGAGAGCCATGAATCCAGGCAGGACACTGGGGGTGCGTAAGCCCCTGCCTTTCCCACCGAGTGAACCTACGGTCCCATTCACCCCAACACGGGTGCCAAGCCTTCTCCTGTCCCCCTCAGGAGCCCCGTGGTCTCTGAGAGCTCAGGTGTACTAGGGTGGAGCGGGAACTGTTGATGGCGCCTGGGCCTCCAGCAGGTGTGGCCTCTGAAGCCCAGGTCCAAGGGATCTCCCACCTGCTGCGTGCCAGGTGAAGGGTGGGCAAGGTCTGGAGGCCCAAGCATTGGGAGGAACCTTCCCTGATGGTGTAAATAGTGTGCTGTGTAAATAGTGTGGTAGGTGCATTTGGGGTTTTATTCTGCTAATTAACACCAAATCCAGTGGGCCAGCAATCCAGGCTGGGGGCTTTCCAGAGCGGGGTGCTGTGTGAACCTTCATTTAACCCTCCCCACCATGTGGTTCCATGGGAGCAGGTGCTTGTTTCAGAGCTGAAGACAGACCCTCATGGGGCCATTTGTTCAAAGCCATCCTGGTTGTCGGGGGTGTGCCTGTGGATGGAGGGGCCCTGGCTGGAAGTTAAGGTTGTGTATTAGGGTTCTTGAGAGACAGAACCAATAGTATCTGTCTACACCTATCTAGATAGCCAGATGAGAAGGGATTTGTTGGGAAAATTGGCTCACACATTTGTGGAGGCTGGGAAGTCCCACCGCAGGCTCTCTGCAAGCTGCAGGCCCTGGGATGCTGGTGGTGTGGCTCAGTCCCAGTCTGAACGCCTGAGAACCCAGGGGCCATGGGTGTCAGTCCTGCAGTGCAAAGGCTGGAGAGCCTGGAGTTCTGATGTCCCAGCTCCAAGAGGGAGAGACACCAACTGGCCCATCTGGGCCCCCAGTTGACTGGATGGTACCACTCACATTGAGAGCTCGTCTTCCCCACTTATTCCACTCAGACTCACATGCCAGTCTCCTCTGGAGACACCCCGACAGACACACCCCAAAATAATGCCTCACCGGGTTTCTGGTTTCTGGGTACTGCTTTATCCAGTCAAGCAGATGCCTAGAATGTACCATTGTGGTTGGGAGGCTGGAGGAGGCCTGAGGGCTGCGGCCAGGTGGCAGAGGAGCTGGAGTGAAGGGACACAGATCTCCCCCTCACCCACCAGTGGCCCTGGGGACCCCTTTCAGGGTGCACTGCCCGTTAACACAGGTGCTGTGCAAATTTCAAGAGTGTTTCAAATGTTTATAATGGCAGGTTTGTCATAAAGAAGTGTTAGCTGCAGAGACAATGTTTCTGGCATAGCTCAGTGCTGAATAGACTGGTAATAACGGGTAGGAAATAGATGAGGTTTGGGAGATGACCGCTCCAGGTCCAGGAAGGATGCTCCTAGCTGAGCAAAGGGCATTGGCCGGAACTCACAGGCCTTTCCTGGGGCTCTGGAGAGTGGGCTCCCTGCTGGGAAAATATCAACAACTTATCTGAAGGGAAAAATGTGGCTGGCAGATTGTCGGCACAGCAGGAGAATAGGTGAAACATTGAATTGGACACACATTGCCAAGTCACTGGTCAACATCTTTGTTCTGAAAGAGGAAGGGAAAAAGGCTGGGGCCAACTGACCTGCCAGGAAGCTTTTCATCTGCCTCATCCTCTCCTCTCCAGAGAGCTGGGGCTGGTCCTGGTATAGGACCCAGCTAAGGGATCCCTGCAGGATATGTGAAGAAAGTTCTTGGAAGGGAGGGTGCAGGGCACCCAGGTAAATATGAGAAGTCATAAAAAACCCAAGGGCTGTGAGCACCTGCCCTGCCCTTCTTCCGGCTAAGAGGCTGGGGAGATGCCATAGTTTGTAGCGAGTGGACCATGAACGCTCCTTTTCTAATGAATGACATCAAATTCACATCTTGCTTTTCCAGGCGTTCTGTGTGGCAGGAGGAGGAACTGTCAGGCAAGAAGATAGAGAAAATCCAGGTGAGACTGAAGACTGAGACCCAGAGGGAAGTGTGATAACCTTTTATGGCAACCAAGGATCAAATAAGGAGAAAGGGTGGGGGGAGCTTCGGCTCGGGGAAGCCAGCACCCAGCAATGCTGCTCCCTGATTGGAGGGAACTTGGATTTAGCAGCATGCACAGGAAGCTACCAAATGGCTTTAGAAAGGTTTCCTGAGAAGCCGGCACAGGGGTTCACACCATAATCCCACACTTTGGGAGGCTGAGACGGGTGGACCACCTGAGGTCAGGAGTTTGAAACCAACCTGACCAATATGGTGAAACCCCATCTCTACTGAAAATACAAAAATGAGCTGGGCATGGTGGCATATACCTATAGCCACAGCTACTCTAGAGGCTGAGACAGGAGAATTGCTTGAATCTGGGAGGCAGAGGTTGCAGTGAGCCGAGATCATACCACTGAGCTCCAGCCTGGGCAACAGAGCAAGACTCGGTCTAAAAAACAGAACAAAACAAACAAAGGAAGGTTTCCAGGGGAAGCACTCAGAGCTGCATGCTTCCTGAGTGCTGTGACTTAGCTCCTTGTCCTTACTGGGGATGCCACTGTCTTTGAGAAGGCTTCTGCCTCCCTGTGACCTATCACTGGCCAATGCTGGATATCACCACTGAACAGCATGGCCCGGGGTTCCCAGCCTCAGACCTTGAGGTGGCATAGCTCTTTGGCCACAGGGCAGTTACTATGAGCAGTGATTTAGAAGTTTGGAACCTCAGAGACTAAAGTCATTGCATCCAGTCAGAATGGCCCAGGGCCCATAAGATTCTCAGCCTGTCATGTATTTGAGAGAGCTGTTTTTAATTTTTGTACTTAAAGCCCAGGCACGGAGTAGGGCATCACACATAGACACCGGAAGGGATATAACCTGGCAGCTCGAACTTTTCTAATAACAGCCGCTGCCTCCTGGCAGACACAGCCCAGAAAAACCAGCTGCCCTGGGGTTTTTCAGGCAAGATAATTAATGTGTGATGGCACTCCACTCAAAATGATTTAGCGACTAGTGAAAAAGTAAGATATAATACTGAAGCTTATATCAAAGTCACAAATTGGGTAGATTAGGTGGAATTATTGGACTTTCTAGGGCATGTTAGGTTCACTGGGAGGCGGATGGTGGGCTGGTGACTGTCTAGTCTCTTCAGTGAATGTGACCAGGTGATCCAGGCCCAAGATATTTCTGTGTGCCCTGCCTAATCCTAGGCACTTTCTGTAAAACTTTGACTTAGGTTCTCTGGCTACAAAATAAAACTCTCCACCCCGGGGGACGAGGAAAGAGCCTGACTTCTAGGTGGTGTTACTGATACTACAAATAGGACGACAATGAGGTTTCTGAAATGAAGGGAGAAGTGCAGGGATTTTTTTTTTTTTAGGTCCTTTTCTTTTAAGGGAGAATGCACCCCCCCCGGCCCCCATCGTGCCTCCAGTGCCCGAGCAGGATGCTGGCTGGTTCTGTGCAGCAGACCGCCACCTTCTCCTCGGTTGGATGCAGGGCCACTGAGTATTATGTGTCTATACGGATCATCCTGCAGATCTGTGTATTTCCTTCTTCTGCTCAGTAGGTCAGAGCTGGTGAGTGCAATGGGATCTTACCAGATGCCTTTCATCTTTATCAGCTCATGGGGCTGGGAGTTAGAAACCCCTAACCTTGCAGCCTATGGCTGTAAAAGCCCAGGACACCCCCCAACCCCACCCCCTGCCAAAACTGCTTTTTCATTTTCATTTTGATGTGATTTTCGTTTTCTTGAGTTTTGTGGCGAAGGCAAATGTGGTCAGCATAGACGTGAAGGCAAATGCCAGTCTCCCAGGACCTGCTTGGGTCCTCTTCCCAGGGAGGAGCTCCTCCTTCCCCTCTCGTCCCTTCCTTTCCATTCTTCCTTCTTGAGTCTGCTAAGGGCTATGATGGGCTTAGTCCTGAACCCAAAAAAACAGCCCTAGGTGAATGCCCTCTTCCCATCAGGGCTGTGGATGTTTCTCTAGGGCCTTACCTGACCCTGCATTTTCTAACCCCACCCTTCACTCCCGGTTCCTTCAGTAACGTTTAGAATATCGAGAAGCGAAAGCTAACCATTCTCATTGAATATGGATTCCACCCCAACTCAGAGCCCTTACGTTTTCACAGTTCCCAGGGAAGATCTCTGTATGTGGGAGACACCTGGAAAGACAGGAGAACCTGGATGCGGCTGGTCTGCTGCAGAGCCACACCCTGGCAGGCGGAAGTGCGGTTTTACCTTCTACTCCATATAAGCCTGAACCCGGCCCTCCTGAACACATTCTCCACTGTGGAGCCAAGCCTCCCTGTCACTCACTGTATCTCGTGCCACATCCAAGCATCTCTGTGACACAGGGAGTTGACAGACTTGGTCAGGTGCTGATTCCACACCATTTGTCATGAGTCTTTGAAAACAGAACCAGAGCTGGCCCACAAGCAAGCTGAGCGCAGAGGTTTCCTCAGTCCTTCTTATCTTCTGACAAAAGGTCTTGCGTTTTCATGAGATTTACTTACTGGATCTTAGCTGTGTAACCTATTTCCTGACGTTTCACAGGAAGGATCAGAGTAGCTGTGGCCACCGTGGCCTGATGGGAGATGGAAAGACAGGGAGACAGCGGCTGCAGGGACATCTACCCCCTGGTAACACTCCCCAAAGGCTCCGAATGGAGAGGTCTGCCACGTAGGGTCTGCTCCAGAGTAGGAAACATGGTGGGGGAGTCAGCCCCTACAACAGGGTCAGTGGGAGAAGACAGCCAGCAGCAATAAAATCAACACATTACCATCACCCAGCTTGGCAAAGCAAAGGGGCAAACTGCAGTTTGGCACAACTCTGTACAGACCACCAAATTCAAGCTTTTAGAAACTCAGTTTTGCCAACTTGTCCTCTGAAGGCAGAGCGTGCATGCGCAAGGGCTGGCAATGTAGGCATCATCTGGAGGTGTCCTGACGAGGGTCACCTATTAGGCTGCAAACCTGGAAGGCCACTCTAAGCCTGGGGTGTCAGAGGCAGCATGAAGGTAAATTTTTTGAGCGTTTTCAGATAAGCAGGTAATTGGTGTTATGAACGTGCCAAGCTTTCTCAGTTTGCCTGATTTAGGTTCTTAGGAATCAATTAAGAACGACCTTTACCCTTGGGTCTTTAAGTACATTTAATACACCCACCTGCTGATTTTTTACTATTGTTCTTTTTTTTTTTTTTTTTTTTAAGTAAGTGATCGTGCCTCATCAAACAGTAATGAAGGAGGAAGGCCTCGAGCCGGCTTATGTAAGAAATATAAATCAAGGTCCTAAATCACTAATAATTGGGTAGGAAAGTTGAAACTATATGTCCTTCCAGGTAACTGCGATTCTAATTTTCTCCAAAACTGAGTTATCTGCCATCAGACAAAATTTGCTAATGGCCTCACTCATTATTACAGATTCATGTCACTGCTTGCGAGAGATGCTTGCTTTCCTCTTCTATGCTCACAAAATCGCAGCCTTGGGCAATTCATCCTGATAACACCAAGAGAGACCAAAATACTTGCTGTATCATTTAATGACTCTTGGCAGAAAGGAAAAACACTTCACTTGAACATGGTATTTTAAAAATATGTATTTTACTAACTTTCATGGGAAATTTAACTATTTGATGAAATGCCTTTGTATATTACTTGGCTGATTTTCATTTGTTCTTAACAATTTGTCTTAAAGATGATACATGAAAATGAGATGAAAATATACAATGTTCCCCATAAACCAAACCTAGGAGAGATGAAACGTTGCCCCAAGTGAAATAGCTGAATTCAATGGATGTTAATTACTTTTTGTCCCCACGGGCTCCCCCGCCCCCACCTTAATTTCTTCTATTTTCCCGTTAGGTTGCAATCATTAATTTCAAGTTTGGTCCCATACTATCCATGAAACTAAACAAAACGTGTGACAGCCGAGATGAATTCGGTGCCGCCTTTTGACTAAGCAGGCAAGTGTCCTTTTCAACGCCAGCCTATGCCTGTACCCTGGTGGGAGGGTGGTGGTGGGGATGGCCCATGGCCCTCTCAGTAGCTGCTCGCTTCCACGCCCTTAGACCGCAGTTCTCCTAGTGATGAGCTGCCCGCCGTCTTGGGAGGCAGCTCCCGGCCCCTACTTTCTACTCTCAGGTTGTCCGGAGACCATACCCTCTTGACTCTGAACATAACAGCAGCCCATGGATTCCTTTCCACAGGGCAGCAGTAACTTACCAGGATACATGTTTTCCCTTGAATGACTCCCGAGGTCTCAGAAGCCACTCCTTCCTGCCTGCTTTCTCTAATAGCTCTTTTGGGTGCTGAGACTCTAACTGTAAAGCTTAACACTCACCCAGTGGAAGCAGCAGCCTTACCGAAAGCCTCCTTAATGATGGCTTAGGCAGGAAATGGAAATGGCTTGCGTTATCCATCCTTTGAAGCATTTCTAGTGCTCAGCCTCCATGAAATGGATTGCTTATAGGGAGATAATGTCTGTTCTATTCCTTTTTAAGTCTGTGAAAAATGTCATCCTGGTTAATAGGGTGATTAAAACTCTTTATGCTCTAGGAGATAAATGTGATTATGTTTGTCATACTCTACCCAAGATAAAGACAGCAAAGGAGGCAAACTTGAAATTCCATCACATTTCCTCTCTTCCATATCCAGGGACATTCAGAGCTCAATACACAGATGGTACGTCTCATAAAGAATAACATTATCTGTTAAACATTTTTCCTTTCCATTAACCAATTTAACAATATGCCTCCGGTACAAAAGGAATAGACAAATGACAAAATCCTCTGATACTCAAGTTCTGACTGTGGCGAATACCACTTGAGTCATGCTGCTTTTCTCTTTTAATTTTCATCTGTCTGTGACTTCACTTTTGCTTTTAAAATGCAATTGGAGCTGAGGCTTGGTCCCTCTTCTAGGGAATTGGACCCTGCCAGCCTCCCCTCTGCAGGGGATTCATCGTTATTCTTATGGGAGTCCCCCTGCCATGGGTCAAGGACAGCAGAGGTGATGTATGAGGGTTTTGTAGACACGAGGCATGCCACTCTAGTAAGTATTCGGACACTCCTTCAGCAACACACGTCTAGGTGTCCTCTGCACCAGCCCTGTGGGAGAGCAGCGCCCCACCATGGCCCCTGGCTCCTTCCTAGGGCCTAGCTGCCATCAGCCCGATGTGCAGCAGCCTCCCCAGCAGTGGTGACACCAGTTTACAAGGCCCTGAGATGGGTCCCTACCCTCAGGGAGGCTATAAGGCAGGAATCCATGAAACAGAACCACAGTTAACAATGATTTCTCCTTTAACACTCCAGACAGGCGGGAGAGTCTCTTTTCCTACCCAGTGGAGGTCTAGAAACCACTCAGCATTCTCCATCTACAGAAAGTAACACCCAGATTCCAGCTGTAACAGTGTTAGGTAGCGCCCACTCTTTTCTTCCCCCACATCAGTTGGGTAATTCAGTGCAGCCGTTGTAACAAGGCTGGAGGGCCATCTCATGCACAAGCTTGGAAACCTACGGTTAGGAAGCACCAAAGGATCCGGTGGTGTGCATTCTCTTCAGGGGAATCTAGATTCAGACTAATTGTGCGGACGAAATCCTGTTCCTCTGGCTCTTGCCTTTCCTTCCTCTCATTCAAAGGCTACAAATCTCTTCTCAGAGATTTAGTTAACATGAAAGGCCGGTGAAGAGTCTTTGCTCCCCACATTCACCAACCAATTTCCCAGTCCTTTCCTTTCAGTCTTGGATTTTTAACAGATTACACATGAATCCCAGATGCTGACACCTGCTTCATTAACAATACAGCAATTTTAACAGGGTAACATGGTCTAGAGAAAAGTGTTACATTATGTACTTGACATTTCATTTAAAAATCTCCCTTAGAATAAAAGGTTTCATGATAACAGAAATTTCAAATGTCCTTTATTGAACCTGATTGCTGACTAATTAGAGCCTAGGCAAGTGGAAAGAAACCGCACAACCGATACTTAACTAGAGGTTACTTCTGTGGACACACTGACATATTAAAGTATTTCTCTTTTTAAAAATATTAAAAATGCAATTGTACTAAAAATAATTGCATGTAGACATTATTCTGTCTGTTTTTTGTAGATCATGGAAGACAGGAACGAGTTGGGTGTGCACGTAGAATTGACTCCAACAGCTTCATTAGGGAGGTGGTACCAAACACTTAACATTGGGACTCAGAACTCAGGTGACTTTCTGGTTAAAAATACTGAAGATAGCTGACAATTGGGCTTTTTTTTTTTTTTACTTTGACAACTGAGACAAAATTACAAATTGTCAATGTTCAGAGATCCAGACCAACTTCTCAAAAAATATTTTTTTACCTCTGATATCATCATTATTTTAGCTCAGTTGTGCCTCTTGGAGTGATCATAACTCATTAATGGCTTTTTAAGTCTAAGAATTTGCAGGGCCTTCAAGCAAGGGCATCAGGTAAGTAACTCACTTGCGTGTGCTGGCTGTAAATCACAGACCACACTCAGGACACGAGAGCCATACCCACCTCCTACTATACAGGACTTACCAGGTGACTGTCACTTTGTAGTCTGGCTAATTGGAATAAGACTTCCAAATTCTGTTATATACTGACAAGAAAGGCTCTTGAAACTCCTTTAATTAGACACATTGCAGTACAACTGCTATTAGGGAGTCTGTTTCATAAATATTTTTATCATACTTTTATTATAAACTTTTTTTAGGTATGAAACTCGGTTCAACTGAAACTTCGTTCAACTGAAGCTTTGTTCAACTGTTACAAACAGAATTATTTCCTCTGGGATCCCCTCCACATAAGGAAGTTATCCCTGTAATTACTATTTGTAAAGTCTTCTTAACTTTGAGAAAACGTTACCCTCCCCAAGACGCACACACATATTCTCCTGTGATGAGGAGGATGAATGCTATCCAGCGCGTGGTTCAGTCTGCGATCTGCCATGTTCCTGGGGAGAAATCAGTCCCAGTCCCTTTGCTGTCATGGTGTCTCCAGAGCCACCGCTTTCTGTAACAAGCATTTTGAAATTCATTCATGCTCATCTCATTCGGATTTCAATGTTTCTTCCCACTCGACAGCCGATTCGGAGTTCTTAGGAATTGCTGGAAATATTGATTGCATTTTACTTCGAAATTCTTTCATCTAAAAGAAGAAAAACAATCAGTTATCAAATGCTAAAAGAAGGAGAAAACAGCTATTAGAGATGGCACTTTTGCTGACTGGCTAGTACTTCACGGCTCACAGGTAAAAGAGCTAGGGAATATCAATAAAAGTTAGGGACTATATATATTCTAGGTACCTTGAAAGAAAATGAAATATACTTCCTTTCTTTGAGTATAAACTTATTATTAAATAACATAAAACTTCACTCTTAGCTGGACATGGTGGCTCACACCTATAGTCCCAGCTGCTCGGGAGGCTGAGATGGGTAGATCAATTGAGCCAAGCTGGACAACACAGCAAGACTCCATCTCTTTAAAAACAACAAACCATTCTTAATCTACAAGGCAACATGTCCTGAACTGTCAACCCTCCATAATAATTATTCCCTCCCAGGAGAAGAATGCGTATTGTTGGCTTTCATATATAAAGATGCAGTTGAGGATGGGATTTCTAACTGAACAAATATAATTAGGTCAATCAAAGCTCAAATTTTAGAGAAGAGAGAACGGGCAGACAGAAGAAACTTAGTAGTTTAGTAAAGAATAAATCAAGGAATGGTTGATAAAGTAGAATGTTCTTAGATGTTAGATAGTGGTGTTTCGTTTTTGAGACAGGGTCTCAATCTGCTGCCCAGGATGGAGTGCGCTGGCACCATGGTTCACTGCGGCCTCCACCTCCCGGGCTTGAGCGGTTGTCCCCCCTCACTGCCCCCAAGTAGCTGGGACTCCAGGCATGTGCTAATTTTTGCATTTTAGGTAGAGATGGAGTCTTGCTATGTTGCCCAGGCTGGTCTCGAACTCCTGAATTCAAGCAATCTTCCCACCCTGGCCTCCCAAAGTGCTGAGATCACAGGCGTGCACCACTGTGCCCAGCCTAAGAGATCTTAACACATAGTGTCAACACAGTATTATTACAGTTCACCTGGAGCACCTGGATCCACCTAAGGTGTACAACCCCATAAGGTGGGAACACTAATTTATGGAAGTTAGGTGAACTTTACACTGGACAGTACTAGTAACACACACTCTGATTCCTCCTGGTTAATCTATACGGTCCTTCTATGAAGGTATTTCAGCACCACCACAGCACTGTGTTCCAAATTTTTCTAATCAGCCATCTGCCAGTCATATTTTCCTAAGGATAGAGATTTCCTTGATCAGGTTTGTGAAGTACCCTGGACTCATCTGCAAAATGCGAGTCATTTCTTGGAGTGGTTATTTTGAGAATCAGCTAATATTTCTTTAACGTTGATGCTTATTTATTTCAATTTGAGGCTGAATCTTCACCTTATTTCCAAATTAAGGGGTGCGTCTTGTTTGGGACTTGTAAATCCTAGGCATTTACTCCTAGCACTGCTGCAAACTGTAGCACAGCATGGACTCTGCTCAGATCCTAGCTCCACCACCTGCGAAAGCTGCTTACTCTCTTAAGCCCTGGTTTCCACATATGTGGAATAGAGACAGTAATTACCTGCTTAAAGAGTTGTGAGGATTACGGCGCATATAAAGCACAGCATCTAACACGTGGAAAGTGCTCAATACACATTAGCTATTATCACTGCTGTATTATCAAAATAAGTGTGCTATATTCCAGGAACAAAGCTCACATGGATATAAACATTATGGAATGTCTGTTAAGTACATTACTTTATAGCCATGTATCATTTTGGTTTACGTATTCCGTCACTGGAAGATATGTAAGGTCTTTTTGGTTTACGTATTCTGTCACTGGAAGAGACGTAAGGTCTTTCTCACATATTATATGTTGTCTGTATCTGTGCCAACCATCTCAATGTTCTGGACCCAGACACTAATGTTGAAGACAGACAGCTCATGGATGTCTCTCTCCCTACTCCCTCTTCCATAAAGAATTCATTGCTTTGTCCAAAACATTAATATCACCCGCACTGAGGAACTTTGTATAGACTTTTATAGTTGAAACAGACATCTCTCTGGCCAGGGTTGGCAATGTGCTGCCTGGTTCTTTCTCTTCACTCTTCTGGTTGAACATCTTTTACAACTAAGCCAGATGACACAGTTTTCAAATGGGATGTCAGATGGCCAAGACATCAACAGAATCATTCACCAGTCTCCCTTCCAGTGGTCCCAAATGTGGTCAGCTGCTGAGAAGGGAGAGGCTGGGAAATGCAGGCGAGGCCTGGGGAGAGGAGCAGAGGGTGGTGAGGTCGGAGGAGGAGAGAAAAGGATGGTGAGGACAGGGGAGGGGAGTGAAGGGTGGTGAGGCTGGGGGAGGGGAGTGGAGGATGCCACTGCACCCAGCCTAGACAACAGAGTGAGATTCCATCTCAAAATAAAACTAAACAAAACAAAGACACAAATAGTACTCCCTAGTGCTATGGGCCCACCATCCTCACCTGTGAGTCCCATTGCCTTGGTGCCCACAGTGCTGTGTTGTATATTCACAGAAAATACCACTGTCTCAGCTAGTAGTGCTCAAATGGAGTGTCATGACAAATGGAAAGTGTAAGTAATTTGTCACAAATATGGACATTCTGTAGATACAATGGCTTTTTTAGATATTAAAACAGATTTAGGATTATGCCTCTAATAATGTTATTCTCGTACACATTTCAATAGCTTCTTGAAGGGCCATGAAGCCAGTAGGCCAAGAGTGAGACCAACCACTGATGCCACTTAAGAGTGTCCTTACTGTATACCAGACAAATTTCTCATCTAACCCTCCCAACAACTAAGTGGAGTAAATATCATCCCTCTTTTAAAGATATGGTGATGGAAGCTCAGAGTAACTAAACAATGTGTTGTGTCATGGCTGGTAGGAGCAGATCCGACCACACAGCCCATGTGCTCACTCTGCCTACTACTTGAATATGCACATGGGACATTGCTACACATTTACCATGCATGTCTTGGTAGGGGGAAAAACATCTGAAAACATTTGGTCTAACATACAGTGTGCTGAAAAATTACTTAAAAGCTTCAGGTTATGTCCCCAATTTAATTAATTTCAGAAAATCCTTAACCATCAATTGGAATAAATAGGCAGCTGTTGGAATTAGAAGTTCTCAGTTTTGAAATGTTTTTGCCATTGTCTGGCTCATTTACCTTCTCTTTCTTCACTTGTTGGTGCAGGACTGTTACTGCCCTCAATGCTGGGGGCGACAATGATGAAAGCGCTATAGGATCACTGACAAAAAACCTTTGGATAATGTCAATAATTACAGAGTCAGTGGTAATCTTCAACAATCTGGGAATACAGATTCTTCATAAAATACAACAGATTAAGACTATATAATACTAGTACCAGGAGATTAAAAAGCATAGCTAGGTTGTAAAATGTTGCTTAAACAGGAATAATATCTGACATTTGGGATCACTTATGTGTCAGGCACTGGACAAAGCATTAGGCTATGATTCAATCTTCACAATTCTATATGGCAGAAATTATTACCACCACTTTACACATGAAAAACCAGAAGTCAGAGAGGTTAACTTACCCATAGAGACATGGCTTATGAGTACAACTGCCTGGCTGATGCCCAGAACCTAGAAAGACAAAGTACCTCTGTATCTTCTACCCATCTGCCAGCTTTCCCTAAAAATTACATAAAAAGCATAGATGTCTCTTTTAATGGCGACCATTTCATTTTGAATAGCGTATGCTCATATGTAGCCAGTACTCACCTACTTTTGCACATGGGGGAGTTGTACTTCCCCACCTCCTTGAAGTTCGGTAACCATGTGACTAGTTCTGGCCAATGAAATACGGGCAAAAAATGTGTGTCACTCCCTGACTGAGC